CCCCCCCCAACTCAATTAGCCACCCCCTAAAATTTTGGCTGAATCTGCCCTTGGTCTATTGCTTTTCTTTTTCTTAGTTGGTGTACCCCTTTTTCATGATGGCTTTACAATGGGGGCTTAACTAATTCCACCTATCATCATCATCATTATCATTATCATTATTACTATTACGAACTTTTGTTTCCATTTCATTTGTCGATTTTTGTTATTTATGAATTAGGAGTGCAGGGAAAATGGGCAAAACAAAATGCAAAATAAATTAATCTGTGCCAAATTATTTCTGTAAATTTGCAAGTTGGTTCTTTGGCTTTGAASACTATTCTTTGTTTATATATTATTCAAATTTGCCAATGACCAACATTAAATTTCCTTGTAATAAGGTTATGTCAACTTCAAACGATCCCAACAAATTTACATTTTTTATTGGACTTCAATCTAAAAATCCTCATTAACATGGAAAACCAAATGTAATGGAAAAAATGGGAAAATAAAACCCACAAATTTGTACCACTCAATCAATATTAATTTTTGTGTACCACATAAGATCATTGATTATTGGCCAGGAACGATATGGTACAAAAAAAACACACCTCAGCAAAAGAATGGGGAGGAGGATTGAATCTAGATCTAGATTTTAATGTTTTTACTCCAAATATTGCTCATTTTTCCATTGGCAAATCAAGTTCCAAAAAAAATACTTCTGGTCGAAAGTGATTTACCAACAACAAAAAAATCACACAAAAAATTACAAATATTTTCAATATGATCAGTACTTTATTTACATGGTCAAATCATGCTACAGTTAGAATGGTTTAGAATCGTAAAAATATATGATTATAATATTGCAACAATCAAAGTTAATGTACATGTTTACATGAATTTACAACTATCGTAATCCTGTTGCTCTAACTTGGTGTGCTAGCTAAGCCATGATATTGTGTTAATTTCTGGGTAAAATAATAAGGTAGTATTTCTATCACTTTCTTTAGTATGATTTTTTGTCACAACTATAAGATGCATGCTTTTCCCAGCATATGGTGAGCTAGCCCATTGCTCTGATTCCACCATACAATCTCAGCTGATTCACTAATGTCGTTGTATTCTAACCATGAACACTCAAGTTTGTCAACCAATCAGATTACTAGTCGAAAACAATAGAATTCGAGTTGCATGTACTGAAAGTCTATAAAAGCTGTTCAAGGAGATGAAATGATGAAAGAGAAAGGAAAAAATAAAAGTGTCTTTACACAAAATAAAAATAAAATTTACTAGAGGGTTCACAGTTAGAGTAGAACAACAGTAAATTTTTATAAATACCACTTATTAATTACTAACTGACAGTATTGTCCTGATAGTAACAATGTGACTGACAAGCATTCAGGATCAAGGTCATGCATGTATTTATAGTTCATATGCTTTCATTCATAATGTAAAAGTCTAGTATATGTAACGGTAATAGGACTGAGTGGAGTTCAATTCACTTTGTAATTATACAGTTTCTCATTAATCCCATATAGGTAACTGTCCAATTCTTAATTGGACAGGTCTGTTGATATGGGATGAATTAGGTAGCTAGTAATTAATCGGTAATGGGATTTCATGCTCCCCAATCAAGAAATAACTAGACTCAAAAAATTCCTCTGACTTCCAAATTGGACTCATTCAATTTTGTCAGTCCTCGGAATTTTCCTCATCCAATTATTTCTTAATTGGACAGCATGCAGTCCTATTACAGATCTAGACTGAATTAGATGATACTCAGTCCTGTTACCAWTTTTTTTTTATCATCATTACTAACACTTCTGAAAAAAATATTTTTTCAAGACAAACAATATGCTAATCAGTAAAATGACTGAAGGTACAAATTATATTTTTCAAGAGSTTTTTTTTTTGAGTGCCCTTAATAATGATATTGAGCTCAATTCAGTGTATCCTAAGAACCCTATATTTTTACACTCAGAAAAAGAATATGGTAGAGTATAGAGCGTTTTCACTCAAGTGAGAAGGCAGCCATRAACAATAGAAACTTTCTGCAGTCAGTATTTTCAAAAATAAGTTCAATTCCTGGAGGATAGAAAATGTATTGTTTTGGTACCCCATAATGGCCGTTGTGACATCACATGAAAATGCTCTATAACACAAATTAAATCTAAACAGTGAAGAGTACATAGGTGTACATTTATGACAAACGACAAAATACCTTAAAACYAAAACAAACTTTGACTCTTAAAAATAATATATATCATGACATTTACTGCACTGTTTGTTATCTTAAAGAAGCATAGTTTATTAATCCACTGGATCAGTTATAAGAGGTGCGATGTACTCTGAGTGTCTGACACCAAATGTGAATCTAGGTGCACTCTTCTTATCAACATAAACCTTGAATGTAAAAAAAAAAAGAATTGGTAAGCATAAAACAAGTTTGCATTAGATGCAGGAATTTAAGGCGTGATTACAAGGAGCAATTTTCTCTGCGACCTGTCTTGCAACAGCGCTGCGACACAAGTTGCAAGAGTGTCTACATGGTGCAACGAAGACCCAGTGATTGCTAAAAGTAGAAACAAATTCTACTTTTCGCARTGATTGCTGCAACATTTCTCCCAATATTTTTTAAATTGCTCTGTAGGTTACATTCTGCAATGCTCCATGCAACTTGTGTCGCAATGCCATTGCAAGACAAGTTACAGATAAAAATGTCAAGTGCAGGAATCAAATCCCTGACCCCAGAGGTAATAAGTTGGTGAATTATATTACCAATGCTGTGATTCTCAGAACAGAGCACAGTATCAATCTGGTCAAGTTGGCATCGCCATTCATTGTCATGGAACTTTTTTTGGAGATAAAATAGATGCCATCTTGTAAATGTACAGTGTATTCTCTAAAACAGCCTCA